GGTCTCGTTGCAAGTTACAGGGTGAGCAGTGGACCGAGTTTGCTGCGAGCCTGGTAGACCATTATTGTGGTATCCAAGGTTGACTCCAGGTATACTAACAGGAGACGCACGGCCTCGAATATAATCCTCGCAGTGATAGAATTACACAAGAATTTAAAATAAGTTTTCGTCACGTGCCTCATCGTTATTCTTCACAATATCCCCGTATCCTGATTGCACCTCCCCATCAATGTCCTACTTCCACTCCTACTACCATTGCATGGTCACAATGGCTTCTATTAAACTAGCTCTAGGAAAGACGTACACGACGACCTTCGATGATCACCCTTTACCTGAATGTCTCCCAAATCCCTTACACGATTTCAAACTGTATTTCAATCGGTCGTCGTTGATTCCTCCCCCACTCTGCTGATCGAATCCATCCAAACAACAATAATACGGACAGTAAAGGAAGCGTGCTGGAATAGGCCAGCCATACAGAATTTTAGGGATCGACTGCTTGTCAGGTGAATTCCCATGAATACCCATTCAAATAAGGTCTTCATCGTGCAGTAGATAGTAGCAAACCCATTTTTAATTTCTTTTTTTATTTTAGTACTCCGAGAATGGCAACTGAGGAGGTGGCGGTACTTCGAGTCGTATCCTCCGAGCAGATGCTGGGTGCTGCTCTAATGGAGTGCCAGTTCCCAAAAAGTCGCGGTCGACCGCTTGTCAGGTATTTTGTCACGAGGAATTTTTCAAATATAGATTTTTATCGTGAACTATTTGGTGGCAGATCTGTTCTTAACCCTTTTGTTATTTTAGCCCTTCGAGGATTATAAACCGTGCGGCACCCGAGACATCCGACTAGGTGTCTTACTTAGACGAAATGCCGGGTTCTGAGGACTACCAGGTCGACTTATCGTTGCCTTCGAAAGCCATCTTAGAAGTTTAGTTTCATCCAGCCGCATTTCCGAATTACTTGCACGAAAAATATTTTTTTGATTTTTTAACATATGCTTTTTCTGACAGTTATCAGCTGATTTCTCAAAATGTTTCCTTGCAGGCGAGCATCCCAGTAAGTCTGCTGCGCCGAACACGGTAAGTCTGACACTGTGTAAAACTGTTCTTGGCTATCTTCTGAGATTTGAAGGTCATGCCATTTTGAAAGATGTCAATTCTTCTTCTTCTTGCAGAAACGGAAACGATGGCAGCAGAGGTTGAGGAGCTTCTCCCGCGGTCTTCGCAGTCAGCGGAACGTATCGACGGTCGACTGCCTGTGAATAGTCGGCCCGCATGATCTCCCTCCGTACCTTTCCCCTCCCTGTCCAGCTGCTCAGACTTTGTTCACCTTTTCGATGACGTCGGACCCCGCTTCCCCAATAGGGTTGTAAGTACTATTTTTACGATCAGAAAACGGTTTTTAAGAAGAATACAATAGTGTAAAACTCTTGTTTTTGACGTTTCCACTTTTGTGTTATTTGTCGGGATCATCGTGTGGTCCGTCTCCTGCCTGTTGTTAATTCTTCCAATGCTGTGCTGTTTTTTAATACGATGGCTAATTCGAGAAATCCAGAGCAGAATAGGGTACTGATGAGCGTCCGCCCACCCACCCAGCACGGCAAATTCGTCTCCATTACTTCTGAACAAGAAGACATTCCATATGCTGCATGTCACTGATCAATAAATATTGATGTATGAATTCACCATACAAGTATTTATACGCAAGGACTTTACACTTCCGACGTGGTCCCTAAACTCGACTTTCCGTTCGCAGCCATTGCAGCATGAACTTATGGTTATCGCCTAGTCTTTGGCTCCTAAAATACTGTTATTCGTGCAGTTGATATGAGTTGAAGCCTTAGATAACATATCTGACCTCTTATTAGAAGCCATTGCTACTGAGCTTGTTTCTGAGCAGCTAGAAGAAAACGAACCTACGCAACATTAATCCATAATCTACCTTTGCCGCGACCGAGTACACGTCTACTGACACAAGGTGCGAGTACCACCAACGGCTTTTAATACGCGAAGAGAGACTGAGTTACTACTGATAGCAGTAATATTCTAATACTATAGTAGTATAGTATTAATACTTAGTAATGCCAGTACCGAAGACGTCATTATGAAGTACAATGAAGATGGCGATGCGACGAGTAGGTGGGGCTGGAGCAGATGGTGGAAGTGTAAGATGTACTGGGTGTGTAGAGATCACGGTGAACGCCGCTGTCGTGTATACGCATGGAACCTAGTTTGCCGATGCGATGGGTGAATGCGTGTGGGCAGTGAAGGCGGTGGTCTCCTTTTTCTCTGTGTTGGTACTCAACGTAGTGGTTTAACAGTCTCTGTGCGATGGAATCACACGTGACCGACTAGACCGGTTCCTGAGCTGAATGTGTTACAGATTAGGGTCGAACCCTCAGTGCTGCTAGCTGATTCAGATATGATGATGAGGGTTGGGACGAGCAGCAATGCGTCTAAGGGGGTGTGAAGGGTTAGGGGTGAGGTCGCAGGAGGGAGGATGGTGTCGGCGGTTGAGGGCAGCGGAGTATCAGCTAGTTGGGCTTCCGTGGTGAGGGTGCTTGGCGTCGAAGTGCTGGTCACAGGAGGGGCTTTTGAAGTGTTTAACGCCGTGGAAGTGGGTGCCGTCGAAGGGGTGGTGCACTGTGTCCGGCTATGATCAATCAAGCCAATACGTGCACGGAAGGTACATTGGCAGCACGAGCATTTTGGTCCAGCGCATATATTAAGTAGCCGATTGGGTTACCATTGGTTTCTGAAACATCGTCTTTCACACTTCATTTGCTTATGACTCACCTCAAGGCTAGTCAGCTTCTATTGCTAACTTGTTCAGATAGAGATTTTCGGGTTCTCATATCGTACGTACCGAGAACCCAAAATTGTTCCTCTGTTGTGCCATCTGCAGATCAATTTCATCGGCCGGGAAACAGCTGAAAAGTAACAGATCAAACATGGCTACTTATATTAAACAAGTAGGTAGTTATGCGAAGTTTTTGCATCGTCTAACAGCAATGCCGTAGAGCAAACATTTCGGTATTGCCTATACCACTGAATTGCTGTTGTGTGGGTAACCCTGATTTCTTCCTCGATTGCCTTCATTCCCATTCCGCTTACAAATTCCGGCAGAAATTTGAGTAATATTCAGTCAGTCAGTCAGTTAATATATTTGGAGAATGATGAGAGTTGATGCAACTGTTAAAAAAACTCGCGGCGTCGGCGGAAGCCAAACCCGCATTGCAGGGAAAGTCGTTACACAGCCAATGCTCGAGCTAAAATGCCACGCCTTGCACCGTGAATTTAATCACAATTAGATCGGTTTCACCCTTCTAACTTTACCGCTCGTATGGTAAGAGTCTTACTCACCAAACGAACGTGGACGTTGACCTGGTGACTTACAAATAAGCCCAAATGAAGTTTAGGACGCAAGTAAGCTCATATTCGCATTTGATCAACTTAAAGGAGTTAAGGCTAAGACGGTTAACCCTAATAGCTACAATATTCCAGGCCTATGGTTCGTTTAGGTGAGGAGAGAAGACGGTTGGAAAGCCAGATTTTTAGCAATAGTGTATTGTGTAGAGGGATAGGAGAATAGATGGATAGAGTTTTGACTCTCGGATGACCGCAGTCCGGCAGCCAGTTCGTCAAGTCCGGAGTGACTAGAGCATCAGGAATCGCCGGCGCATGCTTTGTTACGACGGCCAATGAGGCGGAAAATGCCTAGACTAGGTCGTGGGGCGACCTTGAAATGGCGAAGACTGGCTAGCTTGAGCGCGTGGTCACGCTAATGCGTATGTGCGCGTCGGTCAAGGACAGTTAGCTTCTAGCCCCAGGAGGCAGGGGGCACGCAGGCTGGCTAAAGCCAAAACTTATCACTGGAACTACTTCTGGACACATTTGATTTGCCGAAGCCACAGTTCCTACAACAAGCCAATTTCTTTAAGCTCCTAGGCCCGGGGTCGGCAACCCATGGCTCGCGAGCCATTTATTGCTTTTTTGATGATTGCGTATGGCTCTTTCAGAAACTTCAGATTTCATGATTTTCGTTACTCTTTAGGGGTCTAATTAGTGGGTTGTACTTGGATCACTACAATCATCAGGCCAAATCCCAGGTTGGA